GAGCAGGGAGCCCGATGCGGGGCTCGATCCCAGGACCCCGGGACCATGACCTGAGCTGAAGGCAGACGCTTAATGACTGAGCCACCCAATATACCTTTCATGGCCTCTTCCACAGGGAGCCCCACAAAGGCTTCGAAATCATCATCGCTGATGGAGGTGTAGGCTGGAGAGATCAGAGTGAAGGCTCTTCTCGTTGCATCTCTAAGTGCTTCCATGATTGGCTGGACTGTCTCAGACCACTGGTGTGCGTTGATGGTCGTATAGATCCCAGGGAAATCTCTATGCCAAATTCTTTGTCCTACTGACCAAATGCCCCCACGTTCAGAATTTGCAGATTTTATAGCAGGTGGTATCCTTTTTCAAAGATATCTTGCGTTATTCATGTCATTGTGGAGCAGATATAAAGCTAACAGCTGACCATACACTGGGGGAGTAGCAATTCCTCCAGGAGCCTCGAGTTCCTGGTTCTCGCACTGATCCAGCAACTTTTTGAAACTAAAGGCACTTTCCGCTATCACCACCACTGGCATCTTTCCAGCCCGTCCCGCCGTGGCACCCCCATGAAAGCAGACCCCAGACTTCTGAATTTTTCTTAAACCACTAATGTCTGCTCTTATGCATCGACACTATACTCAAGTATAAAATGACATCTGATTAGTACAAAAGTACATGGCTTGCTAGTAATTGATAAAATAATCTTTCAAGTTCTTGCATAAGAAGTATTGTCACTTTGGGGCACTTTCCCATTGGCATAATTTTGAAAAGCTTTGGTCTGAAGCTGTAGTAGTCTCACTCTATCACACTCAGTGAGGCAAAATGTAATCTCCAGAATATGGAAAAACATTTTGAGGGCTTCCTCTTTTTGCCTAGAGGTTGCCTATCTTCAGCTCAGGCAACCAGAAGCTATGCCCTGGGACAGTTTGTATCTCTAAATAGCAAACAGGGGCGCCTGGGTGGCTCAGATGGTTAAGTGTCTGCCTTTGGCTCGGGTCATGGTCTCCAGGTCCTGGGATCGAGCCCCACATCAGGCTCCCAGCTCAGCAGGGAGCCTGCTTCTCCCTCTTCCTCTGCCTCTCCCCCTGCTTGTGCTCTCTCTCTCTCTCAAATGAATAAATAAAATCTTTAAAAAGAATAGCAAACATAGAATTCTTTGCTCTGTGTGATTCATGAGGAATTTGCCTTCATCCTAACAAGTAATCCAAATTGTCACTCTGTGTAAAACCTGAATGACGGCACCTCCTGGGCAAAGCCTGAGGGTGTGATCACTTGGGCAAACCTGGCCATCTCTGTCCTGGCTAGAGACCCAACAGGTGCATTGCACAGGCCCTTTCCATGTCTTCTGATTAAACCAAGATCTCATTTCTTCAAAAGAATCCACAGGTTCCTAGGAGGAAAGCAGGGATCTGTCTCTTTATTTACCGCTCTGTGGGCCCCAATTATCTTCATTACAGGAAGTTGTGCTTTCTACTACTAACCACCCCAGGTCATCTCATTGACTTGTGAAGCCTCGAGTGCCTGGCTTCAAGGAGGTAGAGAAGTGTGAGTTGATGGTGTCCATCTTTACACGGAGTGTCCTTGGAGCTCAGGTGGTTAAAATCAGGAGACAGGGCCACACTAGTGCTTTAGTTCTCCCTCCAACCCTTCAATGACAGCTGTGCCCTTGGGCAGGTTTCTGAACTTTGCTAAATCCAACATGGTTCACTTCCTGTCCCAGTGGCTCCATTCTGTATGTTTTCAAGGCTGACTCTGACTGATGCATTGTTTCCTCAGTTTAAATTCAGCAACAAAATTCTGGAAGTCCTGATGGCTCCTTCTGGTGGTTTTGCACACTTCTTTTCTTCAATTATTATGTATTTGTTTTATGGTTGCTATTCATTTGCCTGGTTGTACTTCTCCATGGCTCCCCACTTTTATTTCCAACTAATGCAAGTTGGGTCTCCTAGCTAGGCAGAGCCAGCACTAGACAGAAGCATTTGTCTGCTTCATAATTCCAGACAATTGCTGCCCCTGCAAGTACCATGACAAATGGCCACTGGGGCAGGGCAAGGCAGGCAGCGCAGAATGGTCCCTGACAGTCTATGACGTTGCCCTTTTGTTTCTATGAAGTCAATTTTTATTCCAGATTGAGACGATTTTCAATTAATTGTGCGAGTTAATGTCTAAGAGACACTATCTGTTATATTAGTAATCAAGATATATTGTGTCTTTTGTACTTCCATTATCTTTTGGCCATGTAATTCTGTGGGAAGAAAGAAAGTAATTAGGTTTGCTCAGTGATTTATTTCTTACAAATCTATTCTACTTACTGTTTCTGATTCTATTATTTCTTTTTTTGAGAAACAGAATCATGGCACTCATGATTTTGAAAAATTAAAAGCAGTATAAGACATATTTTCAGAAAGTCCTCAATGACATGACCTGAATTTGGATATGAAATACACTTCCTGAATAAAATGAAAACACTTAGTATTTCCCCTTTGCTGGATCCTTCTGTCTGGGAGGCTATGTAGTACAGCAGAAATCCTAGGCAATCCTTCAACCCCGGGTTTAAATAGTAACTCTGTTACTTTGTTGCGTTGTGAATTTGGCAAGTAGCTTAACAGGGCATAGCCTCAGTTTTTCAGTCTATAAAATGGGGTTTGTAATCGCTGCCTTACAAAATATTGCAGGGATTATATAATACAACATCTTTAATAGGCCTGGTATACTGTTGATACTAGTTTCTGGAACTATCTCTGTGACTTTGCCCTCATCAGTCTTCCCAAAGAAATGTCTCTACATGGGCAATCTCTGGTCAGATCTGAGAGTATGGGAATCTGTGTCATTTGTCAAATGATTGTGTCTTATTTCCATGATTAGAACCTGGCACAGTCGTGGACATATTACAAACATGCTGAGAATGGTTTGTTTTTTCAAACTATAACTGCCTCTGTTTTCTCAACATGGGTCATCTTAGACTAAACTAAAAAAGGTTCAGAGGTGATGATGATTGCAGTGACCTTCAGGTGTACTGGCAAGCTCTAAACAACGAGCACATTTGTGATCTGGGCTGTCTGCCCACAGGCCAGCCAGAGAGCAGCACTTTTTAGAGGGCTAGCACTCATTTATAGGACACATCACATCCATACAGACCTACTAACAGTGGGACTTTGGGCAAGTTGCTTTGGAGCCTCACTTTGTTCCGAGTAATGGTTTGGATTGGTGGCCCCTATCACTGTGGTATTAAGATTTTTATGTCTAAAGGATCCTGGGGATTAGAAGAAGGTTAATTAGTATACCAATAGTTATTGCATTCTGCCATTTTAAAAAGCATGTTTATTTGATCTTCCTGGTTGTATATATTCTAAATGAATGGGTGCTTAGTATAAAAATAAATTTCCTTCAGTATAAACTGTGAAAGCCGATGCAAGGTTTGAATTGGTTTAAGTGAGAGGGAATGCTTAACTATTTGGATTTTATTTCCAAATTGTTTAGATTCTTTGACTTTTTAATTAAACTGTGATTTTTATAAGAAATCCTTTCTTTGTAAAGTTCCATCACGGATATCCTTAGGGGGAAAATAATTCCCTCTGGAAGCTTACTTCTACTGAACTCAACCATGAATTAGCTAGTATATGCCATCTGGAAAGTGCTAAGCTGGGCACTGCTGAAAACCAGAGAAGAGTAAATGAAAGTAAGTACAATAAAGCAGAATATTACACAAGTAACTTCCTAAAATGAGGTAATCCCAAACATTTAGGATACCAAATTGCAGCAAGGGATAGATTTGAGCATGACTTTCAACAGAAAGTTATCTATATGCCTACACACACACACATACACACACGTAATCTTCTTGATATATGTATATCATATATGTATATATGCATCCTTTTATTATTTATTATATATTATACATATTATTTTGTATTATTATCTATTTCATATGTATTATATACAGGTTTCCCCTGTTATCCAAAAGTAGAACATTTCTATGAAAACTTTTATAAACCGAAATGGTGTATAGCAAACAAGCAATTAGCATTCATTTATATGGAAAATTTTTTGAGCATTCCTAGACCCAAAAATAACCTCTCTTAGGCTTTTCTGAGACCTTAGCACACATCTTGGATGAGCAGACTAAATTGAGATAAAACACAGATGCTCACAGACACAGCTTGATGCTGAGATGCTGAGCATAGCTCACTGGGAAGGAGCCCGGAGGTGCCATTCTCGCTGCTTGGGTCATGCACTACCTCTATGATGTCTCACTGCAAAACAAACACTCAATGCTATTTTTACTATGCCCCTTTTTTCATAAAAGCAAAAGTCCTCTTCAGATTACTGCCAGTTAGCAGAACCAGGTACTAACGTAGATCTTCTGTAAAAGTGAAGTGGCATAACATGAAATTTTGAAAAGTGGGGGATACCTGTGTATACATACATGTGCACAGATGCATAGCACTTTATTGAAGTATAGCCAACATAAATAAAACTACACAAAATGCAGTTATTTAAAGGGTACAGGGGCGCCTGGGTGGCTCAGTCGGTTAAGCGTCTGCCTTCTGCTCAGGTCATGATCCCAGGGTCCTGGAATAGAGCCCCACATCAGGGTCTCTGCTCAGCGGGGAGTCTGCTTGTCCCTCTGCCCCTCACCCCGCTCGTGCTCTTTCTCTCTCTCAAATAAATGAATAAAATCTTAAAAATAAATAAATAAAGGGTACAATTTGATAGATTTGACATATGAATACATCCATAAAACCATCACCACAATTAGGGTAATGAATATATCCATCACTGCCAGAGGATCCTTTAATATCTTCCCTTCTAGATGCAATCCCTTATAATTCCTCCTGCTTTCTATCAATATATAATATAGTTTGTATTTTCTAGATGTTTGTAAAAATCAAATCATGCAGTGCATGCTCTTTTATGTCTGACTTTCACTCAGAATAATTATTTTGAGATTCATACATGTTATAGTACATATCAAGAGTTCATTCCTTTTTATTGGTGAATAGTATTGCATTGTATGGCTATTTCAGTTTTCCCAAAAGTATTTATTGATTTCTTAGTATCACTGATACATTTTCTTATTCTTAGACATCCTGATAGGCATATGGTAGTATTTCATTATAGTTTTAATTTACTTTTTCTTAATGACTAATGGTGTTTTGTATTTTTTCCTATGCCTATTTGCTAACCATATAAATTCTTTGGTTAAGCATCTCTGTATTTTTCATTGAAATATTTTTTTCTTTATCATTAAGTTTTGAACATCTTTTATATATTCCAGATACAAGTCCTTTTCAGATAAATTTTCTCCAAGTCTGTGGCTTATTTCATTCTCTTAACAGTGTCTTTTGAACAGCAGATTTATTTTTATTTTGATGGAGTCTAATTTATCACTTTTTCCTTTTACAAATCATGCTTTTGGTGTCATATTTAAAAAATTTTTGCCTAGCCCAAGGTCATACAATCTTTTTTCCTATATTTACTTCCAGCTGTTTTGTAATTGTAGATTTTACATTTAGGTCTCTAATATATTTTG